CTGGATGATGTGCCCCTTTTTTATATAGAGCCAATTTTAAATTGGTTTTGGACTATTATAATTGGAGGAATATGCTATTTTCTGCACTATTTGTTTGATATGGCCAGTTATGTTTAGCACCTCCTTTAAACCATTAGCTGAGGAAAGGCAGGCAGTCATGTCAGGATATTGGTAGAAAACGGTATATATATTTATCCTTTCAATTTATTTTTCACACTTGAACCAAAACAGAATAATGTATGCACATGTACTTGAACAAAAAGTATTTTTAAAGTTTACTCGAGCTTGTACAGTGTTTTTTTTTTTTTTACTGCACTTGACTCTTATTTTTGCCTGTGTCTTGTCTGTGAAGACAGCAGCTTGTACATAACACATCAGGCATGTGTGTATTTGTGTGAGTGTGTGGGTAGCAAAATAGGAGGCTGAATATAGAATATAGTTCTGCATGAATTTACAAGATCAGTCCAGAGGTCAGGAATTGTGAACTTTACAGCACGCTTTATTATTGTATTATATTAATATACAGCAGCATTTATACCTTTTGTTCAGTTTGTTGGACAGATGACTAAAATGTCATTTGAAATTGGGCAACACCTAATAACTGCACCAGAACATCAAAGAATTCTTGGAAAAGATTTCAGACAGATTACTGTTTTTTTACTGCAGTGAGAAACACCATTTTTTTTAAGTGCAAAGCTGCATACACAATTTTGGTCATTAGGGGACAGCAGAACTCCACACAAGCTGACAGAAGTGGAGATAATACTGCCTTATAAAGTAGATGAGACTAACAATTTAGCAAACGGCAAACATAGAGCAACAGTAACATTCATTTGGAGTCGTGTCACCTTATGAGTGTCCAACATTCTCTCTTCTTTTAGGTCTGGTTTGGTCTCCACCAACTCCTGAGAAAGCACCTGGTCCTTTTCCACTTTCTTCACCAGCTAATTTGTCAACTTTGTCACTCTGTTGTTTGGTGTTGGGCATGTAGTGTACAATCAATTTATCAGTTTGCTGAAAACTGCTGTGTGATAATTACCTGTGAGTTTGTCACTACAAGGTAGTGACATATTTTCTATTAGACTTGCATTTGATTAAATATCACAAAAAATATTGATTAATGCAGCTTTATAATATTTATATTTTCTTAAATATTTCATGTCTTAGGAAAGCCTAATGGGCAGACTGATGATTCCTGGTGTCTGATTGGAAGCACAAGACTGCAAGAGACTATAAGTTAGTGAATGAGGTCTTCTTCCATCTGTTTGCACTGTCTATGGTTATTATACGCTGTGTGTACTGTCTGTATGTCTGTGTGTGACCTGAATGTGTACGTGGCTGCTTCATGTGTGAATAATTCTCAGCAATCTGCGGTTCACTTTACTTCAGTTCCAAACTCAACGAGGGACTTACTGATTGCAGCATAAAATTATGCCACACTAAATGTATTAGACACAACAGGAACAACAGAAATACACAGTCATTATGGTAAAACGTAAATAAGAAGACTACAGGAAAACAACTGTATAAATGCATGTGGGGATGAAATTTGAATTTTGTATGGGTGTGTTTGCGTTTCCTGTTTTGCAGACATGGGTGGAGGTTTCACTTCCTCCTCAGCAAAACTTCAACCTGACAGAATCTGCAAGTCTATAGGTAAAAAAAAGAGAGAAAACACACTCTCTGTGCATTGTTGAATTTAGTTTCTCTGAACTTCACATTTTTACCCACAGTGTCAGGAACAATACGTGTGCAATAGCCTGTAACATCTACTTTACCTGTAAAATATTTAGTTTATTTTTCATTGTTGAAATTCAGCTTCTTTTTAAAACATAAATATCATCACTCAAAACACATCTATTCCTCCTGCCTGAAAAGTATCTGTACATTATATATATTATATAGTGCAAAGTTACAAATAACACTTCACGAGTCACATCTCCATAATTAAACCCAGCAAAAACTGGTTTTATGCTGAAAAAGGTCAACTGTTGAACAGGTCAGGCTGACCTGACACATAACAGAAATGTTTATTTAAGCAAATCTATTTACACATCTAATGATATCACACCTACACTAACTTTTGTTTACATGTCAACTAATGTGGTTACTGGCGGTGAATTACTCTATTTCATGCCAGCCATCGTTACCCAAAGCTCCATGTTTCTGCCCATGTTTGTCTCATTTAATGTTCTCAATAACAACTGTATTGTTTTCTCACAACTCTTATTGAATACTCTGCACTCCTGCCGGATACTCTTCTTTGAATTGCCACGCTAAAGGCTTTATTTTTCCTTTACATAATAAATTTTATCTGGCAGTTTGTGCTTACTTGTTTCCTTTATTCATTTGATGCTGATGCAGAATCCTCTGCATGTTGTTTTGATGACTTTCCAGATCTCTGTAGGCTCTTTGACGTCCTTTGAGACACACTTGTGATGAAGAGGGAAATTAACTTGACGCGAAACTCAATGAGAAATGCTCAGCCTTCCCTCAGAAACGACTAGTCCTATCCTCAGGCAAAGCAATTAAGCCCTAATTCCCTCAGTGGAACTAATCACTATAAGATTATAGTTGTGTAGTCTGTACTCAGGTGGTAATGCCCAGTAATGTGAAAGTGGGGTGGTGTTCCTGGACCTTCCCTGGATCACAGAGTTATAAAAACAACACAATCTGCTCTCAGCTCAGGTTCTTTGAGGACAAATCAAATGTTTGGAGCAGAGGGAGCCAACGCATCCTGAATGCTACTGTTGGTCAATATCTGTCTGCAAAAAACAACAACAACAAAAAAAACACCATCTGCATAACCTCAAAAAGGGGAGTATAAACAAACGACTTGATATGCAGCTTTAGTGCCCCCCTGTGGTGACACAAAGCACATCACAGGACATTCAACAAGTGGCCGGTTTAGTATATTTCATGGAAACTGCTAGGACAGATGCGTGCTTTCTACAGGTTACAGCATTTTGGCATTATTTGATCATATTGTAGACATATTAACATAAAATAAATTTTTGTCAAAAGTCCCACAATATCGTGTGTTTTTGCCTTGTGTAGTTTGTATTAGTGAGATTTACAATGCATCACAGTAATCCTAAATGTTTTCATGTCACCTAGACTCAAAGCAGCAGATACGCTTTGGGCAGTGGAAATGCATTTGATAAGACTTCACACCCCGAACACAGATCAGAGGAGATTTGTGCCGCTAGATATGATTCAGAATTATATCACCGATCAAAGGTTAACCTCTGATAACATATTGTGGTGGAGACTAAAGCCAGCTCCGCTCAGTATCTGTGACAGTGTTCCAACAGAGGGCGCCCGGCTGAAAAAACAGATTGTACCGCCAATATTTCAAGTCAACTGTTGGGTATTTTAAACTTAAATACCCCAATGATCAACCTGACTCAAAGGACATGTAATATCAGTGGTAAAGGGCCCTGACAGTGTTCTTGTAACCCTATGATTTAAGAGAAATTAAATGAATGAGAATAAGAGCATTTAACAGTGATGTGCAATGGGAGGTGATTCAGTAAACTCACCATGCACTTGTATGTTTTTAGCAAACCAATTTTGGAGAATTTAAAAGCCTAATGTTGGCATATTCATGAGTCTCGTGACTGAAAATGAGGAAACAATGCCCAAATTGAAAAAGAACACTTGACTTTACTGGACATGCGTATCTTTGACACTTTCACTAGTTGATATGGAATTGCTGGGTATTATAGAGGACTGCTTAGTGTGCTAGTATAAGTATTACAGTAGGGCACTTTTATTATTAAATAAATACAAATCACCCCCCATCCTCCTCTCTCCTCTCTCTCTCTCTTTTTGCCTCCTTTTTCCCTGTCTCATTGGTGTATGGCGCCCCCTCCTGTTGCTATTGGTCCATTCACATCATTTGAAGCAATCACTCATTTCCTGTTAAAACTCCACAGATCATACATTTCACAAAAAAAGATGATTTATCCTGCCTTATAACCACAAAACTAAATCTGAAGTATTCTAGGGGACTAATTACAATTCAGGTATCTTTGAGTTTTTGAGCTTCAGCCACCTTAAAATTACTATCTTGTTACACTCTATGAGTCAAATTAGGGCCTGTAAATCCCTGGGGTCTGTACAACAAATTGTATTATTGTTCTTTAAATGTGCAAGTCGCATGCAACATTATCTCCATGTATGCCAGGAAATAAGGATGTATGCATGGATGGATGAAAATAGTGTGGCTCCAGAATATACTATTAGTGAATAATAGCATTGGTGGCTGCTGTAGGTAATTGTACTGATTCTCATGGCAACCTTAAGATTCCTCAAAAAGAAGGAATCATAGTTCATGGAGGATTGATGGTGTTTTTCTCTCTCCTTCTAGGTTTCTGTGTTATTTTCTGACCACTGTTTTCCCAAGTCGAGCCACTGATTAGAAGAAAGTGTTGCAGAGATCTGTACAAGAACATTGTAATGTTGTAAATCAAGCTCTGAATATTAGGGACCAAACTTTTAACAATGAAATCTGAAAGCTTCTCTAAACGTTCTCAGCAGGATACAAGAAGAGAAAAGAAGTTGGAGGTCCAGTGGTTTGAATCTATGGCCAGAAATATCTAATGCTGACCTGGGGTGTGTATGAAAAATGTCTGTCTGATTCAGTTTTAAAAATTGTCAATTATACACTCCATAGTGTAGTGTTTAATAAATATAAAAACTCTAAATACAAGTTTATTGTGATGTGGATACGTTATTACTTTAAACTACACTTCCTTGTGTGTAATAACATTTACAACGAAAAAACTTGATATATGCAGTATATCAAGTTTTCAGTAGCCTATATAAAGTTTTATAACTCCGGGTCTCCTCCTGCTTGGATGGACGTGAAACCGCGCATGCGCTCCGCCGCCCTGTCCGCCAGGGCGGTGATCTCGCTCCCTCTCTCTCTCTCTCTCCTCTCTCTCTCTCTCACTCACACACACACACATACACTTTCTGTATGTCTCTCTATCACTCTCTCTCTCTGGGAAAAACCCGAGCAGGAGGAGAGCAGCAGAAGGGGGAGGAGGCGGACTCCTTCTTCTTCTTCTTCTTCTTCCGATACAGCGTCGGCGGTAGGATATTTAGAAAAATAAATCAAAAGAAATCCACGCACCAACCCCCCCACCGGTGCGGAGCCACAGAGGGGAAAAAACACACGGATGTGCCTCCGAAAGCGCAGCGGATACCGCCCTCCGGACCTTATTAATGCCAAGATTGTGAGTATCTGATCGGCTGCAGAAGCGAGCTTGAACACGGGGAGGGAGGGGTGCTGGTTTCAGTTTAATTTCCCCTTCCCTGGTCTCCAGTCAGCGGCGGGGCTTTTCCTCGCTCCGCGGTGTTGAGGAAAAGGTCGGTCTCCGTGGTTCCTCCCCTCCCCTCCCCTCCCCTCCCTCCTTTCCTTCTCACCTTCTTTCCTTTCTTGCTTTCCTTGATTCCTTCTCAAGAACACCAACAGCTCATTGGTAGAAAACTGAGAGAAAAATGGAGGGTTTTCTTACTTTACTTCTATATTTCTTTCTTTCATTTGTCATGTATAGTGAGTTTGGAAGAAACTGACTGTAAGCGGACGTTTCTGTGGGTTAACCATGCAACCTTCAAAGACAGTTTCTATAGGGGAGAACGGGTTCAGTTGTAACCCACCTCTCTTGTTAAACCAGCATGTAAAACACACATTTTGTATAGAACTTTATTCGTTTGACTGAAACCTTTTATTCTCTGATTTGTTTGTGTGTTGTATCTATTTCCCCTTTCAACTAATAGCAAATTGTCTTTTACTGTGTTTATGTCTGAACATACATTTGCAATGCAGATTCAAAAATGTAAGGAAGCTATATTAGGTGCCTTTTTAAGTTAAATGTTTGATAAAGTTGTTCTCTGGCAACATGAAAGTTGCAGCGGACCTGGGGCAGGTTGCACAAAACACCTTACATTCATCTCCTGAAGCTGTCCTTCAAATGTTTAAGGTTTTCTCCTAATCTTGAGCTGTGTCTCAATTTGGATTCTTCCATTAGTACATTTACATGTAGCACACTGTGTGCACTATTTACTTAGTATGTGAATTTTGACAGGGTAGTCAAACATGGCCGTATTGCGAATTGAAACTAAGTGGATCATTCTCATCAATAGTTGCAACAATTGTCAGCTACCAAAATATCTTCCAGCTTGCCGCCATTTAAACAAGTTTGAAAATAGGTTGGTTGACCCTCCCCTACGCAGTCATGATGTAAAACCATTGAGGGTGAGAAGTGTCCAGCGTTCCACCCTCATGCTTTTTCACTGTTTTGAGTGTACCATCATTGTGCACTGCATTTCACCATGTTTGCCAGTGTGAAAGCACATATGCACTCAAAAGAGTAAATATGGAAGCGTGCAAATTGAGACACAGCATTTGTCTTAAATAATCCTTTAAAGTTAGCTAAGCCATTGCACAAAAGACCACAAATGTCCTCTGACTCTATCTTAACCGCAACATGACAGAGTTTATGGCTATAAATGAAGAAAACAATGGCATCCCAAGAGGAATGTTCCGCGACCATGAGATCCCACTGGACAGACAATGAGCAATTAATTTTACATTATTATAGTCAATTCATGAGTCATCCAACCGTCTACAGTTTACCTTACTTTCCACTGTGGTGTTATTTCAGCAATTTGGCAATTAATGGTTGCTCCACCATTTTATGATGTCGGCTACCATCACTGCATCATTTGAAAGAGGATTGGGAGGTGGAAAATTAAATTTTGTATGGAATAAACGTACGAACCATATAAGCAGTTAGTCTAACATTAACGGATAGACATATTTCCAAGTAAGCTGTAAGGTTTCTTACAGCTTATGTTAAAGTTATTCTTAGCAGTTTTGTTGGATTCCTTCCTGAAACTAGTGATCTATTAAATGTTATTATTATTTATGTTTGATCCTCTTGGATGGACCTCTTCACCAGACTTTGGATGAATTTTTGTTGCAATTTCCTTCCTAATTTGTTGTTTTTTGCTTGCTGTTATTTGTGGATCAAGTATACTTTTTAGTACATGGTCTCTTTTATTGAATTCCTCCAGAAGAAAATATTTTCTTCCTCTGAGCAATTTGGTTTTCTTCTGCCATTTAAAAAAATAAAATAAATAAAAAAATAAATCTTATCACTTTGTGAGACGATAAGATGATAACGGATAGCCTAGGCTATCACAAGTACTGGTCGATGGATGTGGGATTTTCAATAGCCGATATTTAGAGTGCAGGACAGCCAAAACTAACCCAATTTTCCACAGCAGCCACACTGACAAGGCTGTCTCTCAGCTAGGCTTTCTCTCAGGAGAAATTAAGCCTTAAATGTTATACTGTTTTGAGATACAGATTCAGTAGATGTTTTAAATCTGTGTTTTTGTTTTTAGTTGTCAAGTTTGCTAGCTTGCTACATAGCAATTTGCTAGCTTGAGACTTCATGCCTCAACGACATGCAAAGTCATCTTGTTCTTTAAGTTGCAGGAATGACTGGAATGGCTCGAACATGTAATTTTTCAAATATCAAAAATAAATTTTGTGCTTGTGTTTTGAGGAATTTTTCTCCCAGCACATGAAGTGGAGTGATGTAATTGGTTTAGGGGCTGGTTTATCTCAACAACGTTTACAAGAATTTTTAAGATACATGGCAAACTATGCTGAACAGTTAAACTACATACAGAATCTGTGTATGGTTCGTTCTTTGATTATTCCATTTCAAAGCCAAATCGTAAAAATGGAAAAACGGTAAACAAAGAAGCAGACATCTGTTTTTTTCTGTTTTAAACCCAAAATGGAAAAACAAAGCAGCTGCATTTTGTTCTGTGACCGACGTTGTATCACTGCTGGGTTTCAAACTAACTGGCTGCTGTACACGTGCACCTGATGCAACAGCTGTGGTCTGCCTCCGTCCCCAGATTGGTCACACTAGCAAAACATACATGGTATTTCTTTTCAAGTCGCATCGCATCTCATAGTGACTGTGGCGAATATCACTGTAGAAGTGAGCACTATATTATAGCCACATATGAAAAAAAAAATTAAAGAAAATGTAAGCTACTTTTTTTGCAAGATCGCGCCAAGCTGGGTTTGAACTCACTGGAGCAAGCAACATTTCCGTGTTGTGACTTGTTGCATTGCATAAACAAGGAGGAACAATCACCGTCCATCCGCAGCGCACCTCTCCCTCGCCCTTTATGCTCCAGCGCCCTGCTCCCTCTCCAGTAGACCTACAATGGGTTGTGTTGCCCATGGAACCGGCGCATTGTGGAAGGTCGGTGATCGTTCCCTTTGGCTGGATGAAGTCCGACGCTTCTGGTTTTATGCATGATTCATGTGCTACTGCAGCTGGAGGCTTTCTGCAGCGCCATGCAACTTTCTAAATTCTTCCATCTCAAGAAAAAAATAAATGTCAGGTTGAAACCCTGTAGAGAGACTGCTGCAGCTGTTGTGTCTTCTCTACACTGATTGTAGCAAAATGGCTACTTATAATGGCTACTAATAATGGGCATCGCAATGCTTGAATTAATTCATAATTAAGAAAGACATATTTATTTGCCATAAAGTGCTCGTCCATACCGTGCTTTAAAGCAGAGCTTTGCTCCAAATGAGCCCAGTATGATGTATTAGGCTATATAGCCTACATTTAAATAATGAACGAAAATTACCCGAACATCTTAATCAGTGTATGATTTGTTAATATACAGCTTGCCGAATTAACTGATTACAGTTCGTCTTTGGTGTGTACCATTGGATGTACTGACAACTATCACTGAATTAATTTGATATTGAAGAAATCTTAAAAAGGGTTCTCAGGCAACTTCTGAGACGTTCCTCTTCCTGTCCCAGTTGTACATAGGCCTCCTGTTTTTCTAACTAAAAACCCACTTATGTTCAAGCTCATCTTAATTACATTTAATCAGGTACCGCCATCGCCCAAGTGTATCTGCTGCAGGTTTATAAAGTGTAACACACAAACCTACACAAATCGGACACATTAAATATCAAAACCAATATTTTTCCGTTTTGGTTTTAAAATGGAAAAAACAAAAACTTGTTTTCTTTTGGTTTTTCCGATTTGGTTTTGAAACTAAATAATCACAGAACCATACACTGATTATACAGACAGCTTTTGTTTTAGCTTGTTTGTAACTATTTGCTATGGAGCCTATCAATACTACGGCCTTTAATAATTTAGCCCTTGGGCCCGTTTAATACCCGGTTTCAGTACCCATCTCTAGTCTAGGTATTTCACTTTTTGTCACATATTTTGTTCACATGACACGAAACTGAAATAATGTTAAAGTTTGTCACCTGTCTGCAGTGATGTGTTTTTCTCTCATCCTCGATGATATGAAGTAGCCTACTGACAATTGTCGCAAGAGGTTTTGTCTCCGTTCTGACCGCAGCGTCCTCCAACTTGTGACTTTATTGTTGTATGTCGTGCTGAATTTAGATTTTTGCTATTCCAAATGCAGCTACATGACTTCAGCGTATCTGTTGGTGCTGCTAAAGCAAAAAAAAGCACTTAAAGGTATATACAGTAAAACTTCAATAAATAGCCGAGTCCCAAATAGCCACCTACCCCGTTTACTGGCCTGGTGTGGGAACACATTTTGACAAATAAACGCAGGTCTCCCTTTAAACGCCTGGTCTGGTTGTTACATCTTAAACCCTGCGGGGTCGCCTGCTTTAGCTGCTTCTAAGCTGCTTAGATCGTTTATACAAATAGCCTATGCAATAGCTAATGTTTAAAGTGGTGGTTTATGCTGATTTTCTGGTTCAAAATCTTATTATGGGGTCGTACCAGAACAGATTTACATGGTTTAATTTTCAAAAAACATATTTTTTTTCATACTGCACATTGCTGCAGCTCCTCACCATGTGTTGAAGGCTTTGTTTTAGCTGTGGAGTGATAAATCTTGTCTTTGTTGGGAGTTGCACACGAATAGTTCCTAGTTAAGGAATACTAGCCAATCAGAAGCAGTGAAGGGCGGGTCAGCCAAAAGACAGTAAGCCGCTTCGGTTAAGCTGTAGGCTACATGGACTGAAGCAAGAGTTTCAGAGTGGTGAGTTATTAATCTGTAACAAAAGTATTTTTCATCCATAAAGTTATAACTGAGCTCTGTCTCTACATCACAGTAACAACTTTCTGTCCATTGACTGCCTGGAGGGTAGCTAGTGTTTGGAAGGGAGAGGGTCTAGATCAAATGAATG